ACAGCTTGAGTGGCTTGGAGTAAGGAGCACTGGATAGAGACAGGGTTCCCATCCAGCTCCATGACCCACCCAGAGCACAGCCTTGGGTAAACAGCGTGACCTTGAAGGGCTGCAGTTTCCCCGCCTGTAAAAGTGATAGCCCTCCTCATTGTTGTAAGGATCAAATAAAAGGTGGATTATTAATCTGGAAAATTCATCCATCCTAGGAGACTTCTCTTTCCTTTGTCATGCCGAATGCTGGATCAATGAGACACCCAGTTGTAGTTTCAAAGAGTGTGGTGTTTTGTTGTTGTTGTTTGTTTGTTTGTTTTAATTGACAAGTAAAAATTGTATATATGAGTTTTTATCTGTGTGGGCACTGGGGATCAAATTCAGGGCCTTGTGCACGCCAGACAAGTACTCTGCCTGTGAGAAACGCCCCCAACATTTTTCTTTTTTGTTTTTAGACAAGGTTTTGCTAAGTTGCCCAGGCTGGCCTTGAACTTGTGACCCCCCAGTTTCAGCCTCCTGAGTAGCCAGGATTTGGCATGGGTCACTGAGGACTGGGGTTGAGAGGAGGGACTGATCACCATGCCAGCCTTGGTTTCTAAAATTATGGTATTTATATAAAACAAAGTTTGCCATTTAAGCCATTTTTAAGTATAAATTCAGCAGCATGAATTATACTCAAAATGTTGTGCAATCACCACCTCTATTTCAAAAACCTTTTCATCACCCCAAACAGAACTCTGAACCCATTAGGCAATAACTTCCCATTCCCCCCTTGCTCCAGCCTCTGATAACCTCTAATCTTTCTGCATCTGTGAATCAACTATTCACAATATTTCAGATCAGTGAAATCATACAACATTTGGCTTTGTGTCTGGCTTATTTCACTAAGCATAATGTCTTCAAGGTTCATTCATAGAATAGCATACATCAGACCTTTATTCCTTTTTATGGCTGAATAATATTCCACTGTATGTATAGGCCATATTTCTTTAATCCATCCACCTATTAATGGACACTTGGGCTTTTCCACCTTTTGGCTATTATGAATAATGCTGCAGTACTGACATACATCCTTTGGGTCCCTGCTTTTAGTTCTTTTGGATGTGTGTCTAGAATATACATTTTTTAACATGTATTTTGACAGGGGGAAGGGCCCTTGGAACAGGGCCCAATGTTTTTGAGTGTCCCACACTCAAAAGGGATAGGGAAAAAGAAGGGAGGTAGTTTCAGTGTGACCGTGATCAGGAATAATAGCTAACCAAGCTGGGTGCAGTGGCTCATGCCTGTAATCCCAGAGACTGTGGAGCTGAGACAGAAGGATGGCAAATTCAAGGCCAGCCTGGGCAACTTTGTGAGGCACTAAGAAGCTTAGCAAGACTCTGTCTCGAAAAGGATTGGGGATGTAATTCAGTGGTAAAGTACTCTGGGGTCAATTCCCCAGTACCAAAAAAAAAAAAAAAAAAAAAAAAAGCTATTTGCCTATTGCATAATACTCCACATAACCCATAGGGGAAATATTATCCCTATTTTTATGAAGAGAAGGGAATGGCTTGCCCAAGGCCACATAACTGGTATGAGGCAGGGCTGGAGCCCTAAAGCAAGGTTCCCTTACATGCCACAGGGGTAGCCAGTGGTTCAGAGACAAAATTCTCCCCTTCCCTTCCCTTTTCCACCTTCCCTCCCTTCCTTTCTTCCGTCCTGATTTTTCTTTCTAGGTAAATAAAGTAGATCTGAGCTGCTTCAGTCATAATATTTTTTTTCAGTCATAATCCTAATCTACAGCATTTTAAGGACCACTGAATTGGAATTTTGTAGTACAACTGTGCATTTTTATAAGTTCTAGAAAAACAAACTATGGATACAGAAGAAAAGATCAGTGGTTACCAAGGACTGGGTTTGAGAGGAGGGACTGATTCTAAAGGGGTATGAGGAAATTTTGGGGGGAGATGGAACTGATTTATATTTTTTGGGGGGGATACTGGGGATTGAACCCAGGGGCACTTAGCCACTGAGCCACAGATTTTTATATTTTATTTAGAGACAGGGTCTTGCTTAGGGCCTCACTAAGTTGCTGAGGATGGCTTTGAACTGGCAATCCTCCTGCCTCAGCCTCCTGAGCTGCTGGGATCACAGGCATGCGCCACCACACTTGTCTTAATATATCTTGATTGTGGTCATGCAATTGTATGCAATTTTCAAAACTCATAGAACTATACACTAAAAAGGGTGAATTCTGCTGTGCAAATTATGACTTAATTTTTTTTTTTTTTGGCATGGTGCTCATTTGACAGATGCTGTACCACCCAGCTATACCCCCTGGCCAATACCTTGATTTTTAAAGAAAAAGAAAAAAATGAATAAATAAATGAATAGGGAAAAAAAACCTAAATGAGATTCTTACAAGTTTGCATACCTTAAGAACTTTGCAAGCAACAGCACCCTTAATTATTTAGCACTAGAGCACAAATTTCTGTTTTCTTTCATTATAAAACAAAAGCCCTTAATCTACCACCCTACTCAAGACCCAGACCATTACTAACAATGAAGTCTGCCTATAGGATTCCTGTCCTTCGCCTCTATCCCTCTCTACTCCTAAGTAATAATTATTCTCAATCTTCGGTTCCTCATCCCCTCGCTTTTTTTTTTAATATTTACTTTTTAGTTGTAGTTGGACACAATGTCTTTATTTTATTTATTTATTTTTATGTGGTGCTGAAGATCGAACCCAGGGCCTGGCACGTGCTAGGTGAGTGTTCTACCGCTAAGCCACAAGCCCAGCCCACCCTGGCTCTTGTTTTAATAGTTTTTTTTTAACATATAAATTAGACTGAACTATATGAATGTCACTTTTTTATGTCAAATAACAGCAATTTCATGATTCAACCTAATAATGCCTACACACAGCAGTTCTAGGTATTTTTGAACTGCATGAAAACAATCCCATTCTGTATGCAATCTCCTGGGACTCTCCTTTTTCCACTCCATATTATATTAACCAATCCATCCAAATTGCTATTTTTCATTCATTTTATACTGCTGTATAATTATTTCTTTGCTTGATTTTCCACATTTATCTCCCATTAGCAGTATTGTGTGTTTTCCATGTGGGACTACCATGGACAATATTTCTTTTCTTTTTTGGGGGGCGGGTACAGGGGATTCAACTCAGGGGTACTCAGCCACTGAGCCACATCTTCAGCCCTATTTTGTATTTTATTTAGAGACAGGGTCTCACTTGAGTTGCTTAATGCCTCACAGTTGCTGAGGCTGACTTTGAACTGCCGAATCTCCTGTCTCTGCCTCCCAAGCCACTGGGATTACAGACCTGCACACTGCTCCCATCTATGAACAATGTTTTTATTAACATTCTTTTCCATATTTCCTCCTAGTGTCTGATTGCAAGAGATTTTTGTGGCTGTGCCTTAGAAATACACTTGCTGGGTCTTAGAGTACACAGATGTGCACTGTGAGTTGATTAGACCCATTTTCTCAGCTCCAAATGAGAATACAATGTGCCTCTTGCCCAAGGAGGGAACGTGTGTGAGATGTGTTGGAAGGGTTGCCGTTAAGGCTTTGGTGGAAACTGCACGCCTATGTCTAACTTAGCCAATGAACTTTTTCATATCTTTTATCTCACTGTTCATCCGTTTTTTATTCCTCCCAGGAGGGAGAGGTACCATTCTTTCCCCTTTTCGACAAGAGAAGGAAAGTGCCTTGTTCAAAAGTCAAATAGTTTGTGCCAACTGCCTGAGCAAATAATTTCCCCTCTCTAAGCCTCAGTTTCCACATCAGTAAAATGAGACTGATAATATCTGATTCCACAGATTAGTGGAAGGATTAATACTATGCAAGCTGGGAGTTTAGCTTAGATCCTGGAAAAGCTCCCTAAGTCATTTGTTTATTGGCACTATTGTTATTAAGGGTAGCAGGAAACCAGGGTAGGGTGAATTCTGACTTCTTGCCACCCAATGATGTTTGCCTCTTTCAGGGACCCCCTTACTACTCTTGGAAGGCAGTGATTATAACCCGTTTTGGCTTCCTCTGTTGATCCAGGAGGTACCTCTCAGAGCTGCATAGCCTGATGCTCTCTCCATCCTACTTGGGCAGCTCTGGAGCAGAGCTTCACCTGTAGATTTCCCGGAACAGATGAGAGGGTGAACTGACTACTGGGCAAAAAACTCAGGTCCCTAGTTCTGCCTAAGGAAATCGGCGTCAAGCCATTTGTTCAGTGGAGAGTATTTGCTGAAAACATAGAATGTGCCAGGTCCTGTGAGGGACATCAGGAATATAGAAGACCAGACCGGTCCTCAAAGTCAGAGGCTAAAAAGCGGGAAAAGAAGACAAGAAAACAACCTGCTGAGTACCGTGCAGGGAAGTTCAGAGAATTGTTCCACATTACAGAAAACAGGCAGGCTCAGGAGTCCGGGAAGGCTCCCCAGACATGCCCTTAGAGCTGGAGCCTTAAGGGCGCTGGGAGGCTGCAGGGACGCCCGCCCATTGACAGGAGGAGAGCCCGAGCCCAGCACTCGCCCGCCGCCCCCGCGGGGCCTCACTCTCCGGGCTAGGCCGTCCGGCTGAGCGTCGGGGCCCAGCCCAGGTGCCCGCCCAAAACCCCAGGGCGGGGCTTCAGCCCAGGTGCACGGCGGCAGCACTTCGCGGAGGCAGGAAGTGTGTCCCCAGCGGCGGCCCGTGGAGCGCTCCCGCGAGACGCTCACCTGCGCCCCAGGTGAGCGGCGAAGGGGGCGGGGGAAGCGCTGAGCCGGAGGCCGCTCACCTGGCGGGACAGGTAAGCCCCGCGCGGGCCCGAGGGGGCGCGAACTGGGGCGGCGCCAGGGGGGGAGCCCCTCGAGGCTGCGCCAGAACGGGGGAGGGTCCCAGGTTCCGTCCCCCGGGGCTGCCCTCCCACTTCCGGGGTGCGCGGGCCGGGCCCGGGAGCGGCCTGAGCGGGCGTTGGGGCTGGGCAGGCAGAGTGGGGCGAGGGGGCCGTGCGCGCCCGAGGGCTGGGGACTGGGTGCGGGAGCCGCGCTCGCCCGAGGGTGGGAACGGCGTCGGGGCGAGGGCCGAGCTCACTCCGAGGACCGGTGTCAGGACCCGGGAGCGGCTGCGTCTGCCCGCGGGAGGAGGCCATGTAGCTGCAGGGATGGCGCTCGCCCCGAGGGCAGTGCTGGCAAGAGGCTGCGCCTGTCCCGGGCAGCGCAGGGTCTGGCTCCCCTTGACCCAGGACCAGGCGCCCACGGACAGGGAGTCTTGGGCTGCTCCTTTGCGGCGGGACACTGAAGGTGCATGGATGCCCCCCCCCCCCCGCCCGAGCCGACGGCTGTTTGGTGAGCGGGGCTGCTCCTCCCGTCGGGGGGTGGGACAGACGTTGCTGCGGCTGGACTGCCCCGGGGTCCCTGGGAGGAGGGGCCAGGACTGAAGTGCATCCGTTCGTGGGGACGATGGCGGAAAGGCGAAGCATTCGTGGGAAGTGGGCTGAGCTCGGGATCATCTCTGTGGTACCTTGGAATGCTCAGTGTCTGAGCTCCTCTCAGATGCCAGGCACTCTGCTAAACCCCTGTACACTGTGTTTCATTGACTCTTCATAGGAAGGCCACGAAAGTACTCTCTCTCCTTATTTAAAAGATGAGGAACCTGAGGCCAAAGAGTCTTGCCCCCAACCAAAATAGAGGCCTCCCTCACTAAACCAAGAGAGTGTTCCTAAGATTGGGACGGGGGTGTGGGGGGGTAGCAGCAAGGAGAGGAAGATATACCCTGCAAGAAATAGACTGACTTCAGGAGGAGAAACAGAAGCCAGGCACTGACCCCAGGTCTTGGTCCCCACATCATCCCACCCCACTGGAGGTGCATGGCACAGAGCAAAATGCATGGGTTCCAGAGCCTGGCAGAACATAGCATAAATCCTGCTTCATCCCTTTCCAGCTTGGTGTCTTGTGACAAGGCACTTCACCTCTCTCAGCTTCAGGTTTCGGATCTGTAAAGTGGAGGTATAGTACAGGGCAGTTGTGAAAATCCTCTTGGGCTAGAGCCTGTTCCTGAACATTCACTGCTATATCCTCAGCATTTAATATAGTGCTGGGCCCAACAATAAATATGTTGGATTAATTTAATCAACAGTAGCAAGTCCTAAAGGATTGGAGGTGGGGAAAGAGACAGTGATCCAGCCCATCACCAGTAACTCCTGATGCTCTTACAAATCCAGACATTCAGAGCTCAGTATGGTTGAACAGTGTAGATCATCCCACACTCCAGATGAAGGCCTGAGCCTAGAATACTCAGGGGTCCCCATGTGGGCCTCCTGGGACACAGGCTGTCCACAGAGCTGGTAGCTTTGAGTGCCTCTTTCCTTACAAGTAACAAGAGCCCTCTTTTGAGAACTGGGATGGAAGTGGATGAGAGTCTGGGGCCAGGCCAATTGGGTACAAATAAAAGTGTGGCTATGGACAACTTATTTAACCTTTCTGTGCTTCTGTATATAATACCATAAAGAGAGTGGTCAGAATTAATTGGTTTATTACAGACAAAGCAGTTAGAACAATGTAAGCCATCAATAATCACTTTCTCTAAACTCTCAAGGCAGGGAGTTTTGTCTGTTTCATCACTGTATTCACAGAATTTAGAACGATGTCTGGCATGTAGTAGGCCTTCAGTAAATATTTGTAAATTTGGTGAATGGGTTAAGCATGGTGTTGCACGCCTGTAATCCCAGCAGCTCTGGAAGCTGAGGCAGGTGGATTGTGAGGTCAAACCCAACCTTGGCAATGGCGAAGCACTGAGCAACTCAGTGAGACCCTGTCTCTAAATAAAATACAAAATAGGGCTGGGGATGTTGCTCAGTGGTTAAGCACCTGGGGTCAATCCCTGGTTAAGAGAGAGAGAGAGAGAGAGAAGGAGAATAAATAAGTCTGTGCCCAACCCTACATTGCTCAAACCATGGCAAAGATTTTTAATCAGGTGCCCCTGAATTTAAAGTCACTTATTACAATTTCAGAGATGAGATTTCACATACCCTCTCCTCTGGATTGTTGGTGCCCACTCTGGTCAGTCTGTGGCCTTTTTCTTCTACCCAGTGGTCCTAATTCTACCCTGATGTCACATAAAATGTGTCTGTTCCCTGAAATACCTTCTGAACCTGACCTTGCTCCACACGCTGAAACAGAAAGGGAGCCAACACAGTTCTTGCCCTTCTGGGTCCTGGTTCTTGGGGAGAGAGGCTTATCTTAAAACAGATGGCACAAGGCTGACCCAGCCCACAGAGCCCAGGTGAAGGAGGTGGGGAGGGGTTTCCATCTGACTAGGGGTTCTCCAGGTCCATGCAGGAGGAGTGCTGTGTGACCTATGGAGTGGAAGAGTTGCAGGAATAAAAAAAAACTCCTGTATCCTCCTCACCCCTCCACAGTCCAACATTCCTCCCTCCAGCTCTAGGTTTTTGTTGGTTGGTTTGAACCATTTGAGATTAGGTTGCAGAGGTGCATCTAAACCCCTAAGTGCTTTAGTGTATATTGCCTAAGAATAAGAACAGTATCTTAAATAATTATAGCAATCAAATTCAGAAAATTTAATATTGGCATATTACTATTAAATAATTATCCACATTAGCTAGTCTGTTTTCTAATTTCAATAATTATCCACATTAGCTAGTTTTCCAAATTTTCCTCCTTTTCCCCAGTTCTATCCAGGATCACACAGCATGTGTTATCATGTCTCTCAAACTGGGCTTGTCTTACGTGTCCTCGTGATCACATTCAGGATAATCATTTCGTCAGGTGTGCTTTGTAGTGGTGGGTCCTTCTTAGTGCATAGGATCAGGATGCACTTGATGTCATTTCATCACATTATTAGTTATATTAACTTTGATCATTTGATTAAAGTGGTGTCTGCCAGATTTCTCTAATTTGTGGTTTGTTTGTTTTTTTTCAAAGTTTTCATTGGCTGCAAGTAGTAGGGAAGGAGGTAGCCTTAAAGGTCCTTAATGGTTAGAGAAAATGGTGGGCCTGTTCAGGGAGATGGCATTGTTTTGCTGATGGCACACATAAGGGCCAGAATGGAACTAGAAAAAAGATATCTTGGTGCTCAGTCCTTTCTTCCTCACACTTTACCAGGTTTTAGGACCCCAGTGTCATTAAATCAGGGACAAAAAGATAAAGAATGGTATCTCAGAAAATATAGGCTAAGGACAGTTAGTGCCCAGCAAATCCTTATATGTGATCAAAAACCCTCCCAAAGCCAGGCACAGAGGCATAAGCCTGTAATCCCAGAGGCTCATGAGGCCAAAGCAGGAGGATCACAAGTTCAAGGCCATCCTCAGCAACTTAGTGAGACCTTGTCCCAAAATAAAAAATGAGGGCTGGGGATGTGGCTCAAGCAGTAGTGCACTCACCTGGCATGCGTGTGGCCCGGGTTCGATCCTCAGCACCACATACAAACAAAGATGTTGTGTCCCCCGAAAACTAAAAAATAAATATTAAAAAAATTCTCTCATATTCTCTCTCTCTCTCTCTCTCTCTCTCTCTCTCTCTCTCTCTAAAAAAAAAAAAAATGAAAAGGCTGGGCATATAGCTCAGTGATAGAGAGTCCCTAGATTTGATCCCCAGCCCCTACAAAAAAAGACTTCCCAAATACACCACTGCCTATTCTTCCTCAGGCAGCTATTTATTCCCATAATGCCTCATTATATCTTATATCTTCTACCTTACAGGCTTTTAAGAATCTGTTTTTCTACAAAAAGCATGTGTGAATCACCAAGTACAGGGTCTATAGTTCATTAATCTTCTACAGTGCCTGACAGAGCCAGGCTCAGTATTTATAAGTGAATAAAGTCTTAGCTCTGAGCCTCCTAGCAACCAAGTCAGAAAGAGAATGAAGATGTATTTTGTGTCTCAGTTTTTTCTAATCAGAGGGAGCAAAACTTCTTGGTGTTAAATATTGTTTAGGAGAGCAGCTGAGTCAGACAGGGGACCTATTACATTCCCATGTCTGATATGAAGGACAAAAAGAAGGAAGGGAAAGTGCTAGTGATCAGGTTTCATAGCACGTGGATAGAAAGGCATTTCTTGAGTCCTTCAGCAGCTCTGTGCCACGCTTTCCAACAGTAGGAAGGAACCAAGGAGTCCATTTCTCATAAAGTGAGAGCCTGAGAAATCTTTCTGTTTTGTGGTAAAATATACATTAAAATTATCATTTTAATATTTTTTAACCACTTTTTTTTTTTTTGTACCAGGGATTGAACCCGGGGACACTTAACCCCTGAGCCACATCCCCAGCCCTTTTTATATTTTATTTATAGAGACAGAGTCTCACTGAGTTACCTAGCACCTCACTACGTTGCTGAGCTGGCTTTGAACTCACGATCTTTCTGCCTCAGCCTCTTGAGTCACTGGGATTACAGGTGTGCGCCATTGTGCCCAGCTTTTAAAAATACTTTTAAGCTTACAGTTCTATGATATTAAGTACAATCACATTCTTACACAACTATCACCACCATCCATCTCCAAAATTTCATCATCCCCGGATGAAAGTCTACCTATTCAACCCTAATTCCCCATTCCCTCTGCCCCAGCTCCTAGCAACCACCATTATACTTTCTGTCTCTATGAATTTAGTTGTTCTGGATATTAATTAATTTATTTATTTTTGCAGTACTAGGAATTTAATTTAGGGATGCTCTACCACCAAACTGTAATTCCAACCATTTTTATTCTTTATTGTGAGACAGGATCTTGCTAAGTTACTGAGGCTGGCATGGAGTTTGTGATCCTCTTGCCTCAGCCTCTTGAGTAGCTGGGATATAGGTATGCACCACTGTCCCCAACTATTTGATATATTTAAGTAGTGCAATACAATATTTATTCTTTGCTTTCTGGCTTATATCACTTAGTATAATGTCTACAAGGGTTAAGCATTTTGTAGTATTATCAGAATTTCATTCCTTTTAAAAAAATTTTTAGCTGTAGATAGACACAATATCTTTATTTTATTTATTTATTTTATGTGGTGTTGAGGATCAAACCCTGTGCCTCACATATGTTAGGCAAGTTCTCTACCACAATCCCAGCCCAAATTTCATTCCTTTTAAAGCCATATAATATTCCATTGTCTGCATAGACCACATTTTCTTTAGCCATTCATTCACTGATGGAACATTTTGGATTGTTTTCACTTCATGGCTACTGTGAATAATGCTGTTGGGAGCATTATATACAAATAGATATTCAAGACCATTTTCAAGTTTTGCGGGTATGCCCAAAACTGGAATTGCTGGTATATATGGTAATTGTGTTTTATAAAATAATATTTTTTTTCAGTGCCAGGGATGGAACCCATGAATGCTGGATTGAATGCTCTATCACTGACCTATGTCCTTAGCACTTATGTTTAATTTTTTAAGGAACTCCATACTGTTTCCTACAGTACTTGGCCATTTTTGCTGTCACTAGCAACACACAGGACTCTGCTCTACATCCTGCTAACACTTGTTTTCTGGGTTTTTGTTGTTTGTTTAGTTTATTTTTTTAATATTTATTTTATTTCTTAGTTTTAGGTGGACACAATATCTTTATTTTACATTTATGTGGTTCTGAGGATTGAACCCAGTGCCTCATGCATGCTACTCTACCACTGAGCCCCAACCTCAGCCCCCCCCCCCCCCCCCCCGTTGTTTGTTTAGTTTAAGTAGTCATTCGGTGGGTGTGAAGTCCCAGGAGATTTTTGAAATTTGGGTCAGACCAAAAAAGTTTCTCTTTGGGGAGAGAAGAGCACAAACAGATGGTTAATGGGCACACTTGGCCTCTCAGAAGTCTATTCTCTTTAGGACGGCCGGAGCTTGTCCCTGACCTCCCGTCCTGACTTCTTCCTGGCTTCTCCCGGCAGGTACCTGGCTGCAGGAGACCATGCAGTGAGCCATGCCCCGGCCAGGACAGCCCCGCCCATCATCTGGGCCACCTCGCTTGGGACCCTGGGAGCAGCCAACAGAGCTATGCTTGGAGGCGTATAATGAAACACCCCAGCACCCACCAGGCCGCCGCACCCGGAGGCCAGACCCCAAGGACCCTGGCCACCATGGGCCAGAGAGCATTACCTTCATCTCCGGCTCTGCAGAGCCGGCCACCGAGCCCCCAGCCTGCTGCCTGCTCTGGCGCCCCTGGGGGTGGGACTGGTGTCGGGCTGCTTTCTGCTTCCGCCGCTGCCGGGATTGCCTCCAGCGCTGCGGGGCCTGTGTGCGGGGCTGTAGCCCCTGCTTGTCTGCTGGGGACTCCACTGAGGAGGCTGCTGAAGCCAGCTGGGCCAAGGAGCACAATGGAGTACCCCCCAGCCCCGACCGCCCACCCCCTAGCCGCCGGGATGGCCAGCGGCTCAAGTCTGCGGTGGGCAGCAGCTTCAGCTACCCTGATGTCAAGCTCAAAGGCGTCCCTGTGTACCCCTACCGCAGCACCACCTCCCCAGCTCCGGACTCGGACTCCTGCTGCAAGGAGCCACTGGCCCAGCCCCCTCCCACGCGGCACAGCCTGCCGAGCACCCTTGCCAGCAGTCCCCGAGGCTCAGAGGAGTACTACTCTTTCCACGAGTCGGACCTGGACCTGCCGGAGATGGGCAGTGGCTCCATGTCGAGCCGGGAAATCGACGTGCTCATATTCAAGAAGTTGACCGAGCTGTTCAGCGTACACCAGATCGACGAGCTGGCCAAATGCACGTCGGACACGGTGTTCCTGGAGAAGACCAGTAAGATCTCGGACCTGATCAGCAGCATCACTCAGGACTACCATCTGGACGAGCAGGACGCCGAGGGCCGCCTGGTGCGCGGCATTATTCGCATTAGTACCCGAAAGAGCCGCGCCCGCCCACAGACCTCAGAGGGGCGCTCCACCCGGGCTGCAGCCCCAACTGCTGCCCCTGACAGTGGCCATGAGACTATGGTGGGCTCAGGTCTCAGCCAGGATGGTAGGTGGGACCAGAGAGTCAGAGTAAGGAAGGCTCTGGCCAAAGGAGGGGCTGGACTGGGGTCTTGGGCTATTGTGGGTCCTCCTTTCTCCCGTGCATTCCATTCCCCAGCTCCCACTCTGGCCCTTCCCAGTGAGATCTGAGAAAGGCTGAGAGGAGCATGCTCTTGGGTCATTGCTCTGTCCCAGAAGTGCAATGACCCACCCAGACAACAATTTGACCTAATAGGCTCCTCCACTACTACTTGCCTGAGTAGCTTCCAGACCTAGCCTGGGGCCCATATGAACTTGAACCTCTAACATAGCCTGGCCTAACCAAAAGACCCACCTGCCCATCTACCACAGCAACTGACAGGCACACATGCAGTTTATCTGTGTCCTTGTTTTTAAGCATTATTCCTCTAGCCCTACCCAGGGATGAGTGACCCCTCATTAGGCAGCAAACTGAATTAGGGGGTGAGGATAAAAGAATGTGAAATGATCACTGCTCCCTTATATTCCCTTCCTAGAACTGACAGTGCAGATCTCCCAGGAGACAACAGCAGATGCCATCGCCCGCAAGCTGAGGCCATATGGAACCCCAGGTGTGGTCCTGATCCCACAAGGAATGCAGAGGGTGGGGGAACTATCCTAGGGGCCCCTCACATGCCCCTTTCCCAGCTACTTTTTGGGATGGGGAGGATAAGGTCAGAAAGGGACAAAGGGGCTGAGCAGCCATAAACTCATCCCAGTCTTATAAACTGGCTTCAAATAAGAGGTGCTCAGAAAACATGGGCTAGAAGGGACCCAATCCCAATTCCAGTCTTCAGCCTTCTGTTACAAAGGCACCCTGTGTGGTTCTACTGTCTTCTGGGCCTTCACAACAACCCCCTGGGAGAAGGAGGCTAGGATTCAGATGTTTAAAATTAAAAAAAAAAAAGTCACTCAAGCTGAGTGACTTGACCAGGCTCAAGCCCTGCTCTGTTCCCTCTCATCAGGCTTCTCCCTGGCAGTGGGCCCTGGATGAACTCTTTCCCCTCTCTCAGCCTGTTTCCTCCTCCCACCAGGGTACCCAGCCAGCCATGACTCGGCCTTCCAGGGCACTGACACAGACTCCTCAGGGGCACCCCTGCTCCAGGTGTACTGCTAATCCCTGCTGGGTACAGCAGGCACAACCCTTCTTGGGAGCAACGTAGCCTACAAAATAAAGAGGCATCAGGACCTTCTTTGAGGGAGGCTGGACTGTGAGGCCAGAAGCAGTGCCCACTCTAGCTCTTCCTGCCTTCACTGACTGCTTCCTGGACCATGTGCATTTCACAGGGCCAAAGTGCCCACATCCCCAGCTGGCCTGACCCCTGCCTGGACCTATTCCTTTCTGTGGATCGATCATGGAAAACAAAGACTTAAAGTTATCTTCCAGGACTGAATCCCAACTCTGTCCTTGTAATGTCACCCCAAGTAGTCATCATTGCAAACTTGAAGCTTAAGTAGATTGAGTTGTGGGTGGGCAGTGCCCACTTCACTTTATGCTGTTGAGCAGTTTGTTCTAGCTAACAACCACAGTTGAAAGTACAAAGGTAATGGACTCCTATCTTATAATCTGGGCTACAACATAGTCCTTTCTGCCTGCTTTGCCTTGCCTAATGGCTGCCCAGGAGACAGGACATGGGTATGAGGCTGGGCTGTGTGGCAGAGTTGAGGTCATGATGTGGAGCAATACTGCCTGTGTTCCAAGAACAGTGTGGTACCTGAATAGCTTTTGGACTTCTCAGTTCTAGGGATGCTTGTTGACACCATCGCTGCTCCCCCTGTCCACTGCCTGCAGGCTGGCCTGTCAGCCATCCCAGTCCCCCCCCCCCCAAAATCCCTGATCATTTGTCAGCAGCCCCCACCCAGCTTAACCCTGCTGGTCCCCTCCACCTCTTCCCTGTGCTAACAGCACAGTGGTTTTCAGTTACCTTGGCCTTTCTAGCAACCCTAGAGTATAAGGGAACCTGGGGTTGAAAAGTCAAGGAATTAGTGGGTCACAGAGGTGGTAACTGCGGCTCTGGACCTGGAAGCTAACCTTGGGACAGCTGGAGGTTCCCCTTGCTTGGGCACCAGCATCCAGCCTATCCTTCACTGCTCCTCAAACAGGCTTGTCTAATAGGACCCTTTCAGCAGAGACTGGGGCAGGTCCACCAACCCATCTTCAACTAATAAACAAGCTGGAAGATGTTCATGGTCTTCCATTCCTACCCCTTTATCTGCAGCCCTTTTTATGTCCCCATGGGCACCCTTTGGAAAGTGACTAGACAAACTACTTGTTTGTCCAGTTTCCTATTAGATACACAGGATACTCCCCTAGGGCTATGACCATGGGGCCCAGTTGTAGCTACTGCAATCTAACTGGGCCCTTTCCTTAGGCTCTGTTGTCCCATCTAGGTCAAGGCCTGAGAATAAAACCAGGCTGGGGTGTGTGTAGCTCAGTGGCAGCATTTGTCTAGTAGTCAGGTCCTCCCTGGGTTTGATTTCCATCCAACCAACTACAGAGCACCACAGTAGGAGAGTGACACCAGTCCCTCCACTCCAGCCTCAGCCGTAAAGCACCTTTTTCTGGTAAACAGCCTTGTGAACTATCATCTGCATTCCCCTAAAACAGGATTTATCAAATTTGGGAAAGAGACAAAGGTAAGTGCTGCAGTAACCTCTATGGTGCCTGCAATGACCTCTACCCTCTGGCAGAAGCAGGGCAGGGCCAGTTAAAGGTCCTGGGGCTGGACAGAGGTAACATGTCCTCAGCTCTGTTACTGCCTGGGGGCTGGCTCTGAGGCCTTAAACATTGCACATGTCCAGATGAGAGACAAAAACAGTGGGGCCTTACCAGACTTTACCCTGTACTTTAGGGCAGGTCCCTGTACTACACAGAACAAATCTAAGGCATGGGTGATCCCATCTCCCTCACCTGAGATAGGCAGTGTCACCAAGGCCTTGTTGCTCTTTTGCCCTGGGAAACAGTTCAGAATTGGAAAAATACTTGATTCAGGGCTGGGGGTGGTGGAGGGACCCTCAGAGATGAAAATAAAATCAATTAAGTCCAGCTGGCCTTAATCTTTGCTGGTTCATGGGCTCCTTTGAGAATCTGACATACGTCCTGCTCTGTAGCCAGAAAAACTCTCCTTTGCTTGGAGCCATACAGACTAAAAACCTTGTCCTAATCCTCCAAGAAAGGAGGAGAAATTGAGGCCCCATGAAGGGCAAGGACTTGCCCTAGGTCACATGGCAGAATCTGGGCTAAAAGCCAAAACCCTATCTCCCAGCAGCAGCCAAGAGGCCTGCTCCAGGGAAAGGCCAGAAGGAGGAAAGGACACAGGTGGAGCTGGGTGAAGAGGTTTAATGTGTAACAGTAGGCCAACTGGGGAGGGCAAGACCCCCAAGGCCCCAGCCCTTCTCCCATGACGCCCCGGGACCTGTGTGCCTGGGCCAGTCCTATGCCTGCCCCAGCCCTGAGGCTCCCTGGTCCCAGGGAAGGATGGGAAAGAAGCTGGATGGCTGAGGGCTCAACCCCAAGAGTTCAGGGAGGCAAACACAGGAGCTAGTTGAATTTGGCCTTGGAGAAATCCATCTCTGGATGCTGATCCATGAACCTGGAGAAGTGGAAGAAGAAGGTCAAACAGGCAGTCCTCCTAAGCCAGTTCGGTCTCCCAGTTTAGATGTCAGGTCTAACCTCTTTAGAACCCTAGGAAACCTGGAGTCAGGCTGGGAAGGGGTGGGGTCCCAGGTGTCTGAGGCCCACTGGAGGCCCTGTGGCTGGAAACAGTTGCCAACACTGGACACACTTTTCCTGTAGGTGGCAATGACTGCCTGTAACCCCTTGCTTCCTACCCTGAGTCAGCTTTGCCCTAAGAGTGACCTCAGCAACTGATTAGGGTAGGTAAGTCAAGGTCATAAAACCATAAACTTGGCTGGCTCATGCTGGAAGGGGGCAGGGCAACTCTTAAGTCCTGCTGGGTGACCCCACTCACTACTGTCACCCAGGTCTGAGCTTCAGGTACCCACCCTACCCAAGTCCCCATCTGAGTTGCTCACTTCTTTAGAATCTCCTGTTTCTTTTGCTCATCCGATGTGGGCAGCCCCATGGATTTCTGCCTCTGGTCGTACATCATTTTTTCCACCATGCTGCGTGTCTCACTGTCCAGGTCTGATAGCTGCAGGCAGGCAAGGACAGTGAAGGTCAATGTCTAAGACTAAGGTCCCTCACCTCCTTGCCGAAGCTCTTCCAACCAGCCAGGGCTCACCTTGGAGTTCTCAGGGTTAATCTTCTTGGTATTGATCTCAGGATCACTGGACACCAAACGGCTCCACCATTCCATCTTATTAATCTGTAAAGAAAAGGACACCCAGTGGTAGCAAGCTGGGGACCTTCACTCTGTGCCCCAGCAATCACCCTTCAACCATTTCAGAACCAAATTTCCTCCCATCCACATCCTGTACCTGAGACTCCCACAAGCCTGTGCTGGGACCAGAAATATAGATAAGCCAGACCTCTGCTGTCCTAGCAGCTGGGGGAGACAGACGCAGAGGCCAACAGTGACAAACAGCATCATAAAGGAAAGAAAAAGCTGGATGCTATGGCAAATACCTGTAATCCCATTGGCTCAGGAGGCTGAGGCAGGAGGGTCACAAGTTTAAAGCCAGCCTCTGAGGCCCTAAGCTACTTAACAAGTTACTTCCTGTCTCAAAATTAAAAATAAAAAGGGCTGCGGATGTAGCTCAGTAGTTAAGCACCCCTGGGTTCATTCCCCGGACCAAAAAATAAAAGAAAGTATGGAGGGAGACAGTCATGCATGGTGGAGGGAAAGAAGCTAAAGAGTGAAACCAGGCTTCTTGGTGACATGGGTTTAATCCCAGCTAACTGGGAGGTTGAGGCAGAAGGATGGCACTTCAAGGCCAGCCTAGGCAACTCAGTGAAATGCTGTCTCAAGTTAAAAAAGGGCTGGAAGTATAGCTTAGTGATACTTGATTGTCTGGCATGTGCAAAGCCCTGGGTTCAATCTCCAGTACTGCAAAAACTATGTCCCTTGATAGAGACCCCTTTTATTTACTGCTGTGTCTCAGCTCTGGAAAGGCAGTGAGGTAGAGAAGGTCGGCTTCCTGAGGGTAGACTTTTCTACATTTTGCTCACTCTTCTCTCTCCAATCCTTAGAACAGCAAGCACATGCACAGAGTAGAGGTTCAAGTATGTGTGGAACTGAAAGCATGTGCAAACTTGATGGAAAGGCAGAGACTTGGCACCAAACAGGGTTCAACTTGGACTCTCAATCACAGCTCTTTCCTGATTCCAAAGTCCCCTAGTATGGCCCAAGTGGATCAACAGGTCCCTACCCGTCTTGTCAGCACCCATGCTAGGAAACCAGATCTCACGCACCTTCTCCAAATGCACTGTCACCACCTTGCCATCCTCAATGAGCCAGGAGCTCTCCTCCACCTTCACTTCGTTGTAGAGTTCCCCATCAATGACTGCTGGTTGCCCCTTGAGTCCCACCCTGAGGTGCCGCCGCTGGATATCCACCACCACGTCCTTCCCCTTCAGCCGGAAATTGACACGAAAGGGCACTGCCAACTGCATGGACACAGACAGTCAGGAGAGGTCTCTTGGGGCCACCAAGACACCAGGTTGGTTCCCTGACCTCCACCCCTGGCTCCAGTCACTCACATCCAGCTCCGACAGGGTCTGGGTCCAGCGGTAGTTGGGCAGGTCAGCCCCATTGCCCAGGTTGGGCTTCAGTTTCCCTTTGTCCTTCTCGTCCTCTTCCTCCTCCTCCTCCTCAGCTTCCTGCTCACAATCGGAGGTGCTCAGACAAAGACCAAACTCCACTGGGCCAGGCCCACGGCTGGCACTGGGCATATAGCCACAAAACAGACCTGGCCCCTGTCCACTTCATGCAGGGGTAGATAGACCCAATACCCTAATCCACCAGGAACCAGAGGTAAAACTAGTTCTGATCTCTAAGAGGAACTCAAAACTATTATACCCATGTGACAAAGGACATGGCTGTACCCACAGACCCCCAGCCTACTTTGGATGGTGCCCTATATAGGCACTGCCCTCTCAGGGTATTAGGCTTTCTACGTAAGGCCTAAGGCTAGTGGGAGCTGTTTTGTTTTTTAACCCATATCCATGTGTTCTATGTCTGTGAATCAGATCTTGAAATATGGGGAGGATCCCTAAAGCTAGGGGTCAGAGGATGGTAAATGAGGGCATTCCAGAGGACTAGAGAAAGGCTAGTTCTCAAGTCCCTAACTAGTCCCAAGTGTCAACAATCCATCTCACCTGCTTCCCTGGTGAGCCAAGGCTGCCATTCTTGAGCTGGGCCTCATGATTCTCTGCATCCTTTTTCTGTGGCAAAGAGTACAGCGGTTGGCAACACAGTCCCCACTTTCTAGTGCCAATGGAAATCTAGGGGGGGATAAAAAGGGAAGCCCACCCTAACCTGGTCAATCTCCAGCTGCAGCCTCTCTGCCTCCTCGTCAGTCAGCTCCTTGATCTGTGGCCCGGGGGTCTCTGCTTTGGCTTCCTTGGCCAACCTGGCCGCCCTTTCTGCCTTCTCCCGCCGCTCAGTCTCCTGCCGTGCTCGCTTCTCCCGCCGGGCTTTCTGTGCCAGCTGGTTGTGGTGGTTAAAGGTCTGTGTGATAAGCTGGAAAATGCAGAGAAGACAGTAAGGACAGTGTCCCAAGACCTGAAGTCCAAGTTTATCTCTACCTGCTGGGCACTGGGCAAAGCACTGTACTCAGAACTTGTTTCCTTGCCTATAAAGCGGAGATAGTACACTTATCGCAGAGTAATAATGAGAATACCTTCAGCCTGGCACAGTGGTGTATGCCCATAATCCAAGGAACTTGGGAGACTGAGACCAGAATCACAAATTCAAGGCCAGCCTCAACAACCCAGCATGGCCCTAAGCAATTCTGTGAGTCCCTGTATCAAAATAAAATAGGGCTATGGGTGCAACTCAGTGGTTAAGTGCACGTGGGTTAAATCCCTGGTACCAAAAAAAAAAAAAAAAAAAAAAAACCAGGCTGGAGCCAGGGGCATAGCTTAGCAGTACAGCACTTGCCTAGCATGCTTGAAGGTCCTGGGTTTGATCTCCAGCACCACATGAAAGAAAAGAAAAAGAAAAAAAAAAAAAGTAAAGCTGTTACAAGCAGAATCAAGCATCAGCCAGCCCCTTTAAGGGGCAAGTTGATCCTCTACTTCTTTTACCTGTGTGTGTCCTGTCCCCAGAAGCAAAGCCCCACTCAGGCAGCACCACACCAGAATGGCCATATTAGCAGAAGCCAGAAGTTTCCTAGGCAAGAGGCTGGTCTCCCTCTCCCTAGCCAGCAAGCAATCAATTTTAATCCCTTCCTCTCCCATTAAGCGTTCCCAGGATGCTTCCATTCCACAACCTGCTAGCTGACCTCCCTGCCACACTGAAGTGCTACCCGTCTTGTCACCTGTCACTATCTGGCTGTGAGGCTTCACAAGTGAATAACTTTGACTCTTTCTAAGCCTCTCAGGTTCCTTATCTACCAGAAAGACTGAATATGAAAGCACTCATCAAGAGCTGGATACAATCAGTCCCTTGCTTGGGTACAACAAGTCATACATAATGTGCTGGCTTCCCACAACCTTGACCAGCTGGGCTTGTGTGTACATAAACTAGGGGGAATTGGGAGAAGCACCTTCAACACAATAGAAAAACAGTGGCAGGCCAGCAGCTCCCAGCGGGGCTCCCCTGACTGACAGTCCCAGGATCACCTGGAACCCGTTAGTAATGCTAAATCTCAGGCCCCACTCCAGACCTACTAAATCAGAAACTCTGGAGTGTCACCCTGAGGTTATCTCTCGGTGCCTCTCTAAAAGCAGCCTTGGCGTGTGCTATTTTTTGCCTAGAACATCTTCATCCCCACTCCCAGGTTATCCAACAAGCTCCTACTCACTCTCCAAGACCACTTCAAATGTCTCTTTGACTTTTACCTCCAGTCCTTCAGCAGGTGCCACATTACCCAACATTACCCAACCCTGTGACCACCAATACATGGCACACATGCGAACAC